AAAAAAGGTAAACTTCAGAATTTTAGCTGAAGAGCTTGTGGGAATTCTGCATGGGGATTGGACGATATCTCACCCACCTGTGACCTTTTTGAGCGATGGGCCAGGGGACGCCTGCAGCCCATTGGGCCCACCAGAAGCCCCGCCCCCTAATGAGGGCAGATGCATCTTAGGGGGTGAAAGGATGTGGGGGGCAGTGCCTGGAGACGTGGAGAAACGGTACAGGCCGGTGCTGTAGCTGGGGCGCCGTCCCTCTCGCCGGTTACTGTCAATGGCCGCCTGCAGCTCTCCAGGAGAACTCAGTCCTTTCTTCTCACACTCGTAGGGGTAGAGATACTTCATATATCTACACACACAAACACACGTGTCAGATATACCACACCAGTACTTTCCAACCCAGTCTGTGAAGAACCCACTGTGTCCACATTTTTGCTCTCTCCCAGCTCTCAACAGACCTGTCCTGGGTACTTTGTGTTCTTGACTGGCTGGGAGCTGGGAGGGAGCAAAAATGTGGACTGTCTGGGGGTCCCCAAGGACTGGGTTACGAACCACTGCACTACACGATTTCACACACCACGCAGTTTAAAATTTTTGGAATATAGTGAGGATTATCCAACACCGGGCTGCAGAACATAATTCTGTGATTGACTGCAAGGCAGACTACAGGAAATGCCTGCAGTTAAAGTCACTCCTTAGAAGGATTACAACTGGGCTGCTATAAATCAGAGTGCATTATTGGTAATTTCCCATAAGCACTTACTGCGTGCGGAGTGTAAAGGCCGCGCTGGTGATGGATGTGGGCAGGTTCAGGCCCTTGGTGATCTCCCTCCATATCTTCTTGTTGATGACCTCCACTAGGCCGCCCTTCTCGGTCACCAGCTTATAGAGCATGTAGAGGTCCAGCACCTGCTTGGCCATGATTGGGATGCGGTTGACGGGGGTTCCTGGGGGGGGGGGGGGTACAGGAATTGGGGGTGAGCCATTGGGGAGATGTGGAGACACGGCGGTACCAAAGCCCAGTGGCGAGGGGGTATGAATAGTCAGGATTAAAACACAGCGAGCAGCTCTGACTCCGGATCCAGAGATGCTGTGTGGATGCTAATCCTCCAGGTAGCCGAGGACTCTGTGGGTGGGGGGTCCCTACGCCTCTATGATGAAGCTCAATTGAGGGGGATTGGCCTCCGTAAACCCCGCAGTGCCCCATGTGTCCGCCCCCCGGTGGCCATCTGTGGGGGTGGCGGCTGCTTGTGTGTGGTTCTGTTGGGGCGCTTGCAGGCTGTAATGTCAACCAATCCCACAGCCACTGCAAAACTGGAATAAGGCCGATTAAATGTTCCTTTTCATCCTAGAGGCTATCGGCTTCGGGTTGAGATTACCTCTGATTACAGGTTTTAATTTAACCCCACCCCAGCCCACAGCCTATAATTACCCC